AATATAGAAGATTTAAATTTTTTTAAAATATATTTTTATTGATTTTTTACAGAGAGGAAAGGAGAGAGATAGAGAGCTAGAAACTTCGATGAAAGAGAAACATCGACCAGCTGCCTCTTGCACACCCCCTACCAGGGATGTGCCCGCAACCAAGGTACATGCCCTTGACCGGAATCGAACCTGGGACCTTTCAGTCTGCAGACCGACGCTCTACCACTGAGCCAAACTGGTTTCGGCAGAAGATTTAAATTTTGAATCTGGAACTGTGTTTTTATACATGATTTGCACATGTTAGGATATGCTTAGAAAGAGTCTTCTCATACAAAGGAGTATCTAAAAATAAGTTCATATTTCCTTTTTATTTTATTTTTATTTAAATACTAGAGGCCTGATGCATGAAATTCATGCACTCAGGAGTGGGAGGGGTGGGGGCCTCAACCTGGCCTGCACCCCCTTGCAGTCTGGGAGCCCTTGGTGGATGTCTGACTGACATCCTTAGTGCTGCGCTCACCAGCCCTGAGCCCAGCCTCTAGCTGAGCAGTGCTCCTCCTTGGGAGTGCACTGATCACCAGGGGGCAACTCCTTCATTGAGCGTCTGCCCTCTGGTGTTCAGTGCATGTCATAGCAACCTTTCGCTCCACTGTTCATATTAGTGAATTTGCATATTAGCCTTTTATTATGTAGGATCCATTAAAATTTACTTTAGTTGCTATTGTACCTATTCAACCTATTTTTTGCAAGCTTTTATTATGTAAGATCCATTAAAATTTACTTTAGTTACTATTGTAGCTATTCAGCCTATTTTTTCCAAGTTACTATTCAACCTATTTTTTCCAAGTTTGATAAGTTGTGCCAACACCATTTATTGACAAGTTTATCCTTTCTGTACTGATTTAATGTGATCCTTTGACAGTCTTCTAATTGGTCTTTCACCCTTTCCTTTGATCTCTCTATTACATTCTTCATTTTACAGTTACTCTAAACTTTTTAAAGCACTAATATGATTATTTCATTATTCTGCCTTAATTGCTTTCTATCACTTCCAAGATATAAACCAAATTGTTTACACACCCTATTTGATTCCAATTTGATCAGACCCTTATAGGTCTTTTATTTATTCCAAATTGATCTGTTTCTTCATGTTTCATAATATTTCCCATGGCCTTTCCCCTGGATAGATCACTCTTTCTATCATTCTTCACTTATTTAACTTATAGTTTGCATAGCCTTTTGTGTGTGTGTGTGTGTGTGTGTTTCAAATAAGTTACTACCTTTAAGTTAGTACCAAATAAGTTTGGGGACTTTAATTCAGTTGCTAGACATTACAAAAGAGATACTGTGATAATTGAATGTAACCTCATAATAAATTATCTATTCTAAATATTATAAAGTGGTGCCTTTCAACCCCCCCCCAAATTTTATGTAATTATTTAAGCATTTGCATTACTTGAAGTTATTAATATCATCTAGCTATACAATTAGTTATTTAATGTCTAGCTTCACAACTAGACTACAAACTACAGAAAGATAGGGTGTTTATTTTATTCCATAATGTGGCACAATGCAAGTACCTAGGAGGCCTTCCTGATAGTTGCTCAGTGAATACATGTTAAATTAATAAACTATCGTAAGACTTTTCAAAGGATTTTTGTGATGAATAGTGAAGATTTCTCTCTCTTTTTTAAAAAAAAAAAATTTTATTGTCTCTTTACAGAGAGGAAGGGAGAGAGATGAGAGCTAGAAATGTCAATGAGAGAGAAACATTGACCAGCTGCCTCTTGCACACCCCCTACTGGGGATGTGCCCGCAACCAACGTACATGCCCTTAACCGGAATCGAACCTGGGACCTTTCAGTTCGCAGACCGACGCTCTACCACTGAGCCAAACCGGTCTCAGCAAGATTTCTCTTTAATATCAGAATTTAAAACCCAATAACAACTGCTTCTTTCGATATTTCTGGTGCATTCTTTTATAATTATTTTTATTTGTTTTTCAGGTAACACAGGGTCAATGAATAAAGCAAATTATTCTGAAGTGTCTCAATTTGTCTTCCTGGGACTTTCTACCTATAGACCAATGCAGCATTTCCTCCTGGCCTTCTCTACGGTGTCTTATGTAACAATCGTCCTAGGAAACCTCCTTGTTGTGCTTACAGTGACTTTGGACTATCATTTACATTCTCCCATGTACTTCCTTTTAGCCAACCTCTCAGTGATTGATTTCTGTCTTTCAACTTTAGCAGTTCCTAAGATGATATCTGATTTGTACTCTGGGCACGACACCATATCCTTCCAGGGATGTGTCATCCAGATGTTTGTCCTTCACATTCTGGGGGGATCTGAGATGGTGCTGCTCATTGCCATGGCCTTTGACAGATATGTGGCCATATGTAAGCCCCTCCACTACCTGACTGTCATGAGCCCACAGATGTGCATTTTGACTCTTTCTGGTGCTTGGGTTATAGGCCTCATTCACTCAGGGGTCCAGATAGCGTTTGTTGTTCATTTGCCTTTGTGTGGGCCTAATGAGATAGATAGCTTTTACTGTGACCTTCCTTGGTTTATCAAACTTGCTTGCACAGACACCTACAGAATGGAATCCATCGTTACTGGCAACACTGGGTTTATTTCCTTGGCTACCTTAATCTTGTTGATTATCTCCTACATCTTCATCCTGGTCACTGTATGGAAACACTCATTAGGTGGTGTGTCCAAGGCCCTTTCTACTCTCTCCGCTCACTTCACTGTGGTGGTTTTGTTCTTTGGATCATGCATCTTTGTTTACATATGGCCATTGCCCACAGTGGCAGTGAATAAGTTTCTTCCCATTTTGGACTTTCTGATTACACCCATTCTGAATCCCATTATCTACACATTGAGGAACAAGGATATGAAGATGGCAATGAGGAGACTAATTAGTCAACTCCTGAGTTTGAGGAAGATCTCCTAAATAACTCACATGAGCATAAACTACTTTGTAAATTTTCAAGCAACGTCAAGTAATACAAATGCTTAAATAACTATCTAAAATTTGGGGCTATTTTTTTTCCAAAGGCACCATGCTATAATATTTAGAATAGATAATTTATGATGGGGTTACATTCAATCATCACAACATCTGTTTTTTAAACAACTTGTTTGGCAACTAAATTAAAGTCCCAGAAAATATTTATGGGAAGTTAATGAAAAAGCATAGATGGCCGAGACCGGTTTGGCTCAGTGGATAGAGCGTTGGCCTGCGGACTGAAAGGTCCCGGGTTCGATTCTGAGCAAGGGCATGTACCTTGGTTGCGGGCACATCCCCAGTAGGGGGTGTGCAAGAGGCAGCTGGTCGATGTTTCTCTCTCATTGACGTTTCTAACTCTCTATCCCTCTCAATTCCTCTCTGTGTAAAATCAATAAAATATATATATATTTTTTTAAAAAAAGCATAAATGACAGACTTAGAATCTGCTGAAAGTATGACTTGAGACATCAGACTTCCTGGATTCAAGTGAATTAACTTAGAGCTAATATATTCAAACTTTTGAGGAAACTATGAAACGTGTAACTGTCCTCTGACTCAAACCCAGAATATGAATAATCAAATTTATATATTTTTCTGAAACATAAAAAATGTGTGTGAGAGGTTTTAAGAAAGGACCAAACAATATTTTATAACTGAAAAGGAAACATATGAAATTATGAATTTAAGTAAGCTTAAAAAAAAAGATTGGACACAGCAGAAGAATGGGTCAATAGATTCAGACAAGTTAATAGGAATTATCTCAACTGATGTACAGAAATTAGAAAAATTTAAAAATCAGAGCAGATAAATATAGAGTGTCTGCAAGAAAGATATACACACACATTGAATAATTGGAAAGAAAGTATTCATTAAAGTAATTTCTGTTTCTCAGAATTGAGCTGTCAGCTGTTAAAGTGTTTATACATTTTTGGGGACACCGTGGTGTGTGTGTGTGTGTGTGTGTGTGTGTGTGTGTGTGTGTATGCACACGCATGTGCAGAAATAGTGATTGTTTTTTAAGGGTCTATGCTTAGACTCTAAGTTAGCAGGACCATGTTATCTCTAAAAAGCAATATGAAATTTGAAATACATCTGGTTCCATGAATTTCAAATGAGGGGATGTGAACATGTATAGGAAGAATTCTTAAAAGTTTTGTTATATGTAATAATGAGCAATTCATGAATATTGCACATAATCTAGTTGCTTACAGGCCACCTGAACACTACAATGACTTAAACAAATAGTTTATTCTAACTTTTATAACATTCCCCTCTCTCTGATTTTGTTGATATAGATATTAAGCCCTTTCATCCATTTATAAATAGAGAAGTAGCAAAATACTCAAAGGTTGTTAGTATACCAATCATTCTATTTAATGTATATCTTCCCCAGACAATTACATACTTTTCACAAATTGCTAAAACATGAAGTTGAGGGAATAGCATTCCCTTCAGATTATAGTTATAATTCAATTTTTTTCTGAGTGTGATACAAAATGAATAATGATTACCTTTATACCATCTTTTCAGATAGATAGGTAGTTAGAATGTTAACTAATTGAGAAACAAATTTATCCATTAAAAATAAAGATAGCAATATTCAATGCACTGACATATTAAAAGAAATTAGAGATCTCTGTGAAATTCCTTGCTCAAGAAAATGCTTAGCATAATAAAGAATTTCAAGATTTGTGGTGGGTGTTGAAGTAGCAACACCAACAGTAATAATGTTATCAACTTCAATTGGGCACAACCAAAATCATAGTTATACTGGCCAAATTTCCCAAATTATTTTGCATTCAATGACCAATAAATGATTGTGAACTATAAGAGAATTATGTAAAACTTACATCTGGAAATAAATCTGATTTCCATGTATGAATTGGGTAATCTTTCCCAGTCCCACATTACAGGACAGGAGTGGCTAATGTAGGGAGCTTACAGTGGACATTCTGATAACAAAAGACCCCGAAATATTGCAGAAATCCACATGCTAACATCGTAGTCTCTTTATGGCATTTTTAATTTCTTTGTTTCTTAGAGTGTAAATAGCTGGATTTAGGAGAGGTGTAATGACCGTATAAAATACAGCAAGAAACTTGTCCATCCTGGTGATGCTGAGAGGCCACAGATAGATGAAGATGCAAGGCCCAAAGAACAGCACCACCACTGTGATATGGGCAGTACAGATGGAGAGAGCCTTGGATGCTCCATCCTTAGAGTGAAGGCAGGCAGTAAACAGAATATAAGAGTAAGATATCAGCAACTGTATGAAGCAGATGGTTGCCAGCACCCCACTGTCAGCATTTATCAACATTTCTAGAACATAGGTATCCATGCAGGCTAGCTTTATTACCAATGGAATATCACAAAAAAAGCTATCCAATTCCCTGGGTCCGCAGAAGGGGAGCTTTATAATCATAGCTAGTTGGCTTACTGAATGCACAAAGCCAACGGTCCATGACGTCATCACTAACAGGATGCACATGCGCCTGTTCATGATGCTGGAGTAATGAAGTGGCTTACAGATGGCCACATAACGGTCGTAGGCCATTGACACAAGCAGCACCATCTCACCTCCTCCAAAGAAATGTACAAAGAAAATCTGACACATGCAGCCTACAAAGGAGATGGTCTTGTTTTTCTTGAGAAAGTCTGTGGTCATTTTAGGGGTGGTGACTGAGGAAAGGCAGAAATCAATGAATGAAAGATTGGCTAACAGGAACTACATGGGGGAGTGGAGATGAAGGTTGGTGATAATTAGGAGCACAATGAAGATGTTGCCTAAAATGGTGATCAAATAAAGTGAAGAAAATATCACTAGGAGGAAGGCCTGGAGCTCCCATGAGTTACATAGCCCAAGGATAATAAACTCGGACACCACAGACTGGTTAACTTCTTCCATTTAGTCCAGTTTGTTTTAAATTCATCTGAAGAAAAAACATGAAATTCATTTTTTGAGTAAACAGTATGTGAATCAGGAGAAGATGATCTTTTATATATTATTAATAGGGAGGGTATACTGATATAATCACTTTGGGCCTTATCTTGTATACTTCAACATTCACACATTCTACAACCTCGCCCTTTCATTCCTTTTAAATACTCAAGATAAACTCTTGCATATGTATATAAGGATAAATTTATAATAGTACCCATAGGCAGGACAATGCAATATTATTGTGACAAATAAAATATAATTATATGTACTGATATAGTTATATCTTAGTAAGATATAATAATAAAGGGGGAAAATCCAAAGCAGATCCATTCAGCATAATTTTAAGGTAAAAAGCAATTGAAAAATAACAGTGTACTTTGCAGGAACTGTATAAATGATAAAACTATGCACAAAAAGAGAAGATTCTAAAATGTAAGTAGTCTCAAATGTGGGAAAGCTGAGGGTCAACATGAGGATGAACACACAGCAGTTGTATGTTATTATCAATTGTTTAGATCTTGTATTAGGTCATGTGTTCATACATATAAACTTTGTAGTAAGTAGAAGAGCAGATAAATCAAGGAGAAGGTGAAAGAATGAATGCTATAGGCATAAAGAAAGGATAAATCATAAGCATCTGGGAGAAATATTCTTTGTTCAAAAAATTCAAAGCTTTTGTAACCTGCAAGAAATTACTCAAAGCCTAAAGTACACCTCCACCACAGCTGAATCCTGAAGTTGAATCTTATCTTGAATATCAAACTCTCAATTATGTTTGAAAGCCTTATTTTGCTAGACATTATCAAGGACTACAGAATACAGAATCTGGTGTTAAGGTTTTTAAAATTTTTTTAATTTGAAACAACATATTGTAGCTTCTGAGAAACTAAAATCTGGACATCTCTGCAATGTCTAAAATTATCCAAAAGCTGTGGTGAACACTGGGAGAGAGACCGAGTCACTGTACTTGAGATAAAGATTTTTTTGTGTTACCCAGGAGAGGGTCCTTGGGTTCTGAGGCTCTAGCTACCATTTTAGAGTTAGGTAAATTCTCCTATTTCCAACATGTCCATAGGAAGCTACTTTCATTCAGTATCATATACCTTATCATGATCTTTGAAATATATGTTCTCCCAAACAATCTTTGGCAGAGTAAATTACAAATTAATTAGAGTTCTTATCACAAGTTAGAATTTAAGTTTGTCTCTATAGGAGTTATTTTTGCTATTTAAATTACTTAAAAAAATCTAACAATCTTATTATGCTGTAAAGAAGATCTATATATTTTTCTTTTAAAATTTTCTCTCTCTCCTCCCAATTTTTCTTCTCCTCTTTTCACCTCCTCCTATTCCTTCTTCTTTTTCAAAATTTTGGATCTCAGTCTTTGCCATAATAGATCAATTATCTCTAACAGCCATGACTAAGTTCTTGATGACTGGTGTTCCTAGCCTTCTATCAAAGTTGGGAAGTCTGCTGTCTACAAAATGAAGCATAAAGAGGTGGGAAGTCTGCTGTCTACAAAATGAAGCATAAAGAGGTAGGAAGTCTGCTGTCTAAAAAATGAAGCATAAAGAGAATTAAAAACAATCTATACTAATAAAAGGGTAGTATGCTAATTAGAGCAGATATCTCTGGACAAAGCCACAGCTGCTGCGAGGCCTAGGGCTCAGGCATCTGTGGGCTCAGACAGCCATGAACCGGCCTAAGCCGCCAGTAAGACTTCTCCTGAGGGCTCCCAGACTGTGAGAGGGGGCAGTCCAAGTTGAGGGGTCCCCCAACCCCCAATACACAAATTTTTGTGCACCTGGCCTCTTGTTTTTATTATATAAATCTCTTTAAAAGATAAATAACTATATAAAACAAAAATAACAATATATTAATGAATGTATTATCACAGTAGATAATAGTAGACATTTCATATAAAACAACACAAAGAGCTCAGGGGAGGTAAATGGAAGCTTACTGTAGTAACTTTCTTATATAATACCTGAAAAAATATAATATAAAAATTAGACTGGGATAAGTTACAAATGTAAAATATGCATTTTTAGCTCTAAAACAACCACTAAAAATCACACAAAAAAGAATTAGCTAAAAATCCAATATTATTAATATGAGAAAGTTTAAATAAAGAACAAATATAAATAAATAATAATATAAAATAACACTCCAGTATATAAAAATGACAAAATTAAAAAAAACTGACAGATGGAACACAAATAAAATAGAAATTTTAATCAAAATGTAATCATAATATATGCAAATAACCTAATAACCTAACTAAACAGAGATTGTTGTATTAGATAAAATATATGTTGCAGGAAAGAAGCCACCATTAAAAAGAAAAACTCATATAGATTAAAAGTAAGAAATAGAAATAGAAAACTATGCTAATAGGTTACTAATATTTATCTGAACAGTGGTGTATTAATTTACTGTTCTTTCTGTAGAAAATTATCTTATACTGAATAATGTAAACTAGCAAGTATTAACTATCTTACATTTTTTTTTAGTTGAGAAGTCTGATGCAAATCTCACTGGGCTAAACTCACAGGGTTGGCCGAATTGCATTTCTTTCTTGAGGCTCTGGGGGAGAGTTCATCCACTTGCCTTTTCAATTACACCAAAAGGAAGCAAAAAGAGTAGGAAAATATAAATAAATATAAAGTATCTCACTAAAAAGTAAATTTTAATCCAGCCATAACAATAATAAAACTATTATATGTAAATGATATTTTATTTTTTACAATTATCATATATGTAATTATATATATGACAAGCCCCACAAGACATCATGCTATATTTTATGTACAGTCAGTATTCACTGTATGCTTATTTACATATACACTGTATCAACATAGTATTTAAAAATCTATTTTCTCTTATTTTTTATTCTTTCTTTGAAATTAGTGATTTTCTACAGAATTATTTTCTATTATCTGAAGAACAGCAATTAATATTTATTTAGTGAAACTTCTTAGGCCACAGATTCACTCATTTTTGTTTTTTCTGAAATGTTTTTATTTTACCTTTATTTAAAGACAATGTTTTAATCTCATATAGACTTTCATTTTTTCTTTTCAAATTTCTTTATTGATTAAGGTATTACATATGTGTCCTCATCCCCCCTTTAACCTCCCAACGCCCCCACTCATGTCACTCCCCTGGTGTCTGTGTCCATTTGTCCATTGGTTAGGCTTATATGCATGCATACAAGTCCTTTGGTTGATCTCTCCTCCTTACCCCCACCCTCCCCTACCTTCCCTCTGAGGTTTGATGGTCTGATCAATGCTTCTCTGTCTCTGGTCCTATCCCTGTTCATCAGTTTATGTTGTTCATTATATTTCATAAATGAGTGAGATCATGTGATATTTATCTTCTCTGACTGGCTTATTTAATTTAGCATAATGCTCTCCTCTTCTTTCTTTCTTTCTTTCTTTCTTCCTTCCTTCCTTTCTTTCTTTCTTTCTTCCTTTCTTCCTTCCTTCCTTCCTTCCTTCCTTCCTTCCTTCCTTCCTCCTTCCTTCCTTCCTTTCCTTCCTTCCTCTCTTTCTTTCTTTCTTTCTTTCTTTCTTTCTTTCTTTCTTTCTTTCTTTCTTTCTTTCTTTCTTTCTTTCTTTCTTTCTTTCTTTCTTTCTTTCTTTCTTTCTTTCTTTCTTTCTTTCTTTCCACAGCGTAGTATTCCATTGTGTAGATGTACCACAGTTTTTTAATCCATTCATCTGTTGATGGGCACTTAGGCTGTTTCCAAATCTTAGCAATAATAAATTGTGCCACTTATATCGATTTTTAGATTGTTCTCTTTCAGCATATTAAATATGTCACTCCATTATCCTTTGGCTTTCATGTTTCTATTATAAAAAAGCTGTTAGTCACCCTAAGTGGTTTGGCTCAGTGTATAGAACATTGGCCTGCCAACTGAAGGGTCCCAGATTCAATTCTGGTCAAGGGCATGTACCTTGGTTGCGGGCACATCCCTAGTAGGGGTTGTGCAGGAGGCAGCTGGTTGATGTTTGTCTCTCATCTATGTTTCTAACTCTCTCTCCCTTCCTCTCTGTAAAAAATCAATAAAATATATATATTAAAAAAAAGCTGTTAGTCTTACCATTGTTCTTTTCAAATAAACATGCATTTCCCCACCCCAGATGATTCTAAGATTTTCCTTTATCTTTCTTACATTGATGTGTTTGTGTCTTTTATTGTTCTTTGTTCTGCTTGTGGTACATAGAGTATTTGTATATGTGGATTTATGACTTTTTAAAAAAATAAATCTTTATTGTTGAAAGTATTAAATATGTTCCTTTTTCCCTCCATTCCCCTCTCCCACCCCACTCTCACCTGAAGCCTTCACCACCCACTGTCTGTGTTCTTGGATTATGCATATAAGCCAGTCAGAGAAATCTAAATATCACATGATATCATATGTGGAATCTAATGTCCGGCATAAACTGATAAACAAAAATAGACCCAGAGACATAGAAACATAGAACAGACTGTCAAACCTCAGAGGGAAGGCATGGGAGGTTGAAGGGTGGAAGGTATCAACCAATGGATTTATGTCTTTTATCAATTTGTAAATGTTCTTTGTAATTATATTTTCAAATATTGCATTTCTCCCATTCACTCTTTTCCCTAGACTATTTGGACTTCAATTGTACATCTATAAGACATTTTCATTCTATCTAACATATCTCTAATATCTTTTTCTGTATTTTCCATTCTTGAATTTCAATTTTATTATTTTCTATTGACTTCAGTTCCAGTTCATTCTTTAGTTTCTTCCTGTGTTTAATCTAATTTTAAACTCATCTAATAAATTTAGATTTTAGATTTTTTCCACTTTAGAATTTTCATTGAATTCTTTCTATGGATTCCAACTCTTAGTTCAACTTGTTTTTTTAAACCTATTTATTACATTTTTTAATTATTATTTGGAACATACTGATTATTGTAATTATAATGTT